AGCAAAGGGTCTGAATACTTATGACCATGTGATATTTCAGTTTTTCTTTTTTAATAAATTTGCAAAAATTTCTACATTTCTGTTTTTTTCTGTCAAGATGGGGTGCTGAGTGTACATTAATGAGAAATAAAATGAACTTTTTTGATTTTAGCAAATGGCTGCAATGAAACAAAGTGAAAAATTTAAAGGGGTCTGAATACTTTCCATACCCACTGTATATAAAAAAAGAAGTACCCACTGTAACATTTTGTTACAGTGGGTACTTATATTATTGTGCGCTTTTGGCATTGAACCTGACACACCAGAAAAAAAACAAACCCAAAGGCATACTAGTCTGCTGGATATGCGAAAGGAGGCGAATTGCCTATTTTAGTGTGTTTTCCCACGTTTAGAAAACCTGCATATACGTGCTAACACCGCTACATTTTCCTTCCAACTTGCCAAAGTTAACATTGTATTCTAGCAGATGTGGCATCACTGCATTACCTACCGACGATGATAGCAGTGTTGCGTTGGTAGGGGTCATAGGGGCAGCGACCTCTTCCTTCATCAGCCTTGAGGCTCATTATTAACGTCTCCGAGTTCTGGACAGAAAAGAGGAAGAAGTCAAGCTGATATTGTACTTAACAAAGATGTACTTACAAATCAAATCTCATCACATCAAATGCAACCCACTGCTTTTACAGAAAATGGGGTATTTTGCTAAGTAAATTGTTGAAATCCTGAAACAGCGAGCATTATCATACTGTCACTGTTAAACACATCAACCGGTTTGAATGTCTGTGGAAACAAACTTACAATGTAGGTGCAGCGCGGACTGAAGGCAAATGTTCCACAGGCATAGATGTGGGTGGTGTTCAAGAACTGCAGCACACGAATGAAATTGGGGCAGTCGATCTAGAAAAAAAACACAAGGACATCAATTTAGATGTTTTGGAAAGTACAGCAATGATTGGATTGAGTAAATCTCTTGTCAAAGTATGCTTCGTACTAAGAAAAAAAATGATGAGACATGTTGCTCATCAAATATAAACAGCAACTCCCTGTGCTTACTCTGCTCATTAAAGGAAATGCAATTTGTAGCTGTATGTTACCGACAGCCTTGACTTGTTAGGTTGGTACCCTAAGTTAATAGGAGATATTTTGATCCTTGGTGTAATTAGTGCATAGGATCACTACAAAGCAACTACTTGCCATTTTCTTGCCTTTCATGGAACATTGCTCAATGTCTTTCTCTGAAGGGCTCCAGTCCAGCTGAAAGACGAAGAGCAGCTGAGATTTACATCCATCTTAACCAACAATGACACATTACATTACATTTCCATTACAAAGCTATAGTTATTGTTCAAGGGTGGGGGGGGGGGGTTGATTTAGTAGAACACACATATACATGTGGCAGGTCTGGATTTTGTTAGTCTATTTTTGAAATAGCTGTGAATATCGAAAAGGATGCTACACACTTTTTCTTATAATTTACATAATTTCTTTTCGAGGCAGAAGAGTCATTTGAAACATGTTTCAGAATCATTTCAGTTAAAAAAAAAAAATCTACACATTCTGCTCTGCTCCTCATGAAGACTGCTGAAGTAAAGCTAAACACCAAACATGGAAAACAAATTGAATTGTGACAAGCAGAGAATTTGATATCCATCTTATCTGATTCTGATTTTGCCAACTAACATACATGTTTGAGAAAAGTGTTTCTTCTAAAACTGCAGTGACTCAAACAAAAGTGATGCGTAATCCTAACTAATACAACTGGTAGAATTATCCAACTACACTTGGGAATATAGTTTGCAGTTAGAGTGCTCTTTTTCAGTTTTTAACATTAGTGTGTATTGTGTAGAATGAGCAAACACATTTTTGTCCAGAATTTTCAAACTTCATACACAATTAGTGCTTGGGAATACAAATGTTTCTTCAGTAACAGGAGAGCTATTCAACAGCCTCATTAACTTACACTTTAACTGCTTTCAACTATTACATATAAGTAACTTCAAGTTAAGTCAAGTCAAACTACTATGGGTGACCACGAAATGTAGAATATTCGAGAATTCGATCTAAGAAGCCTGATTTGACTGCCAATCTTACAGTTGAATTGTCGAAGTGACAAAAAAATAGGGTAATGAAACAAAGGAGCAATCATTCATAAATAACATGGCTATTTCAAAATCAAAGACCAGACCTACCGTTATTAATCAGAGCACTCACATAAATGCATAACACTATCAGAGATGTATTTTAAATGTATGAACAATTAGCTAAAATCAGCTTGCGGAGGCACGTAGAAACAGATGTTTGAGGCGCTATAACAGCCGTTTGAGGCTTGCGTTTCTTTCTCCCATCGACTGTCCCTTCGCTTCCCTGTTCTTTCCCTTCTGTCTGTGGATTTATTACGATCGGGAAATGGAATTAGGACCGCAAATTCAATTTACAACCACTAAGAGCAACCAGGATAAGAATCTGTCTCTTTCTATTGATCTGCACTCCGTGTGGGTACCACCGCCAGTGTCACACTACATTACATACGAAACCGATGCAAAGACACTAATAGACAATTTTTCAAAACGAGCGAGCAATTCCTGTGACGCTGTGTCACGAAAGTCTATCGGCGTTGAGATTCTCCTGTTGTCACTGATAGAACAGTTGACATTGGTGAATCAGAAATGAAGGAAAAGATTGTCAGATTATTATATGTGGGCACCCAGTGATGACTACAATAATTTGTAAATCGGATGAAACTATAATATATTATACTGTGTACAAATTTCTACGTATAAACCACAGACTGTATGGTACAAACAATATTGTCGCTGCGGTATTAATGCCTAGATGACATTATTTTGGGTGTTGATGGAGAAGTTGCAATGTTAGCATAGCCTAGCACTGAAGGACGCAAACTCAATTCAGAAAAGCAGCATTTAAATTTTTTTTTAGCATGTCGTCTTGCAGACAGACCTGACAAAGCTTGAATTCAGACTTTCAAATCGGTGTCATGATGTCGTTGTTTTGATCCGTTCAATGCAATTAAATCATAGCAAAATCTGTTCAGTTTGGTTGTATATCGCTGTGATAAACCAGATTAACTCAGCCGACATGTGATTTACAAGCTAGATACAGTGAATACAGGTTCGGTGAAAAGCCTCCAGATGATGTTATGAACCCAGACACAACTTTGTTTAGTTTTCCGATGTATCTAGGACTTCCCCAACAGGTACAAAGCAGCAATAGTGTTTATTTCAGCCATGGCTGATGACAGAAAGAAATGGTAGAAAGAAACGTTGGTATCAAAACGGCTATGAACTGTTACACAAATGATCCCACGGAAAAAATAGTCAAAGATTTAAGTCAAAAATTGAATACGCATTTGGTAGGAACACAGTATTACACTCTACACCACTTCCACTTCTTCTCTTTAAATGACCTATAACTGCTTTCACTTCTTCCCTTTCAGTGCTGTACTCTTTAGCTGACAGTTCAGCTGCTTTCATCTTCTTTCTTTGCATCAAAAAAATATAGCATTGGGCTCCATAAATTCAAGATTTTGGAAAAGTGATTAGTAACGCAAGCACTGACGACTTTCTAAATTTAGCTTATCAGTGGTCGCTCCCCACCTTACTCCTCAGTATGATGGCGTCCTTGTAGCTAACATCCAGTGCTAACACAGCATCCCGGGCTCCTACATACAGCATGTCTCCATCTTCACTGAGCAGCAGTGTGGTGGTGTTACCGACGTCATGGCTACTGAAGCGGGTGAGATGTCTCCCAGGCATACCTATTGTTTCACAGCAGTTAACACTGAAATTAGGTTATTTCATTCAATTCAAAACCCCCAGACAATTAGAATAATCCACATGTAAGCAGGCTGTTAGCAATCTGCTTATTTTGTAAGGTTTTTGCAGAAAAGAAAGGGCTGGACCCAAATGCAGGGAGACTCGGGAAACGGAGGGTTGGATAATTGTGGGTTTAATTGTAACAAAAAAGTATTCAACACAAAAACGTGTGAATCACAAGTCCATGAAAATAAAACATCCAAAGAAACAGGGAACACGGCAATGGGGAGCAGACACTAAACATACTGGGAGGAAATGGCAGGCAGACGACAGACGGACCAGGTTACACCAAAGACGAACGAACACTGAGCCAAGGCACACACAGGGTTTAAATACACAGGGAAGGTGCAGGTGATTAGACACAGCAGGTTTCAATTAAGGGTGGGGCAGACGATCACGAGAGGAACAGACAGGGGCAGAAAGTGAAGTGAAGCAGACTGAGGAGGTGCAGGTGATTGAACGCAGCAGTGTCTAATTAGGGGAAGGGCAGACCCTCACAGGGGTAAGACAGACAAAGGCAGGAAATAAAGTGCAAGACACAGAACATCTCAATAAAACAGAATAAATAACTAAATCAAAACATAAATCGTGACATATTTGCACAGAAAATCCATTGTCCACATGTCAAACATCCCTGAATATCTAATTTAAGTAATGTTTGTTCATATACTCTGGTGAATCATTATCAGTCAATGATCAATAACACTGACATACAGTATTATCGTTTTAAATAAAATATATACAAGTGCATTTACTAGGTGTAATACCTTGTATGCACATCATGACAGCATACTGATTCTGCTCTTTAACTGTCAAGTGTTATGATTTAGATTATTGCTAGCACCAATTCCAGAGTTAAGAAATCTTTCTTCATAGGTGTAAAAACTGTTGTGCAGTGTAGCCATGTCTCATAAGCCTTCTAACTGGACTTTCTGATTTGTTTTTCATCTTCTCACCTGTACCCTAACTACCATGGCCACACCAACATGGTGCTATCATCAGTCTAAAAATGACAAAACACAATGTACTACTTAATAAAACATTTGCACTGCCCTGTTCAATTGTCTAAACCTGCACTGTTAACAATACTACTTTTAAGTAGGTTTAAGTTTGTCAACAGGATAAACTTTACTCACCCATAGGAAAGGAGACTCTGGGTGTCAGTTTTGTCAGACATGGGCTCAGAAAACCCAGCAAGGCCACAGTGAGGGACAGCAGGCTGGGATTCTCCATTACAGCAGGAATGAGGATCTGAGTCTGATCTTAATTACATCTAAGGTCAGAGAGCGAGCACGGGGTCTAATGTTCATCCAGTGTCAAAGACTTGTTTGGAGGGGTGTAGATTGTAGCTGAAGCCACAAACTTTGCTTTCTAAAGCTGATCATCACTGGATCTAAGATAGGCACACAGAGAGAGACAGACAGACTCTCAGGTGAGTTATGTATGCAAGAATATTGTCACATGTTACAGTGTTCCCAGTGTTACCATCATAAGTGCACCAACTGCTCAGTGGTGATTAAATGGACTGTACTGATAGTTAGTCCCATCAGGACTAACTAACATTCACACGCACACCTAGTCAGCAATTTTTGGGGTTAAGTGTCTTGCCCAAGGACACATCGACATGCCCGGGATCAGCCGATCCTTTGATTGAAGGACCCTGCTCTCCACTGAGCCACATTTGTACACACATATACTTACCTTACTATTCAGAGCCTAAATCACGTATGTCATTGATGTTGATAAAATGAAGCATTAAAGCCGATGATTTGAGAGCACATAGGTGTTCAACAGACAGACTGTTTCAATTCTCACTCTGCATAATGATTTGTAGTAGACATGTTTAAATAGTGGAACTTATAATTCATTATATTCAGCATAGATTCTGTATATTTCATGTGCTTCTTTTGTGAATTCTTATTCCTGATCCTACTGCTGTGCATTGCTCTAGCGCATCTTGTAGACTAATTGAATTGAATTGAATTTATTTTGTATAGCCTAACATCACACATTACAAATTTGCCTCAGAGGGCTTTACAGGTTGTACACATGAGACATCCTCAGTCCCAAAAAAAGGGAAGAGACCATAGGGAGAGCAACAGAGGAGGGATCTCTCTATCAGGTGTGATAGATGTCACATGTACAGAATGAACAACATAACAGTTACAACTCATTCAATGCATATGACATAAATGATTCATATAGTAATAAGGAGAATAATGATGGAGAAATTACGACTACTAATAAAAACAGCAGAAGTGGATATAGTAGAATAACAATGATAGCAAAAGCAGTAATGGTATCAGTAATAGTAATAGCAATATGACTACTACTAATAGCAGTGGGTGTCAGGCAGGACCAGGGTCCAGGTAAACCCACGATCCATGGAAACCTGTGAGGAGAGAAAGCACAAAGACTCCGGGGAAGAAGCAAAGTTAGTAATGAGCATTAATGGGACATGAATTCATACAAGTAGGGTCCTGTCATATGCAACGTTGTATGAGGATACATTGCTCGATTATAATGGCTGAATTGAAGTACACAATAAAAACATAAGGGATAACAAGGTTAGAACAGTCCCTTACGAGGCGCTACAGGGCTCACTAATAGGCCCCGGGCCCAGCTGCCGTTGTAACTGGACCTTGGACCTACAACCGATTGATAATGGAGAATTATAAAATTTTGACGGAGCGCTATACTATAATCGCAATGTATCCTCATACAACGGTGCATATGATATCTTACGAAAAATGACTCAGCATTTTTTATGTCTTTTCCCAGGAAGCAACTCAATTAGGTTTAAGCAACAAAGTGACTTGGTTAGGTTTAGGAAAATATTGTCGTTTGGGTTCAAATAACCTTGGAAGTGCCTTTACTGAAATACGCAAGTTATATGACAAAAACATCAACATTGACTTCTCGTTTCACATGGGGAATGAACAGCGGTCTCCTGGCTGAAACATCGCTGTTTGTTGTATGTGTGACATCCGTACATTCTTGTCACATCGTGCCACTTTATGACATGAATTAATAGTAAATGTATAACTTGTCATGAACACTGTTATGCTCATCTGACAGAGATCATAAAATACTGCGATGTGACAAAACAAAGGACAGCTGATGCAGCTGTGACACACGTCATATTCAATTGAGATTGCTATAAAAGGACAGCTCCGAGGCAACAATGTCTCATTTGTTACAAGCATTTGTTAATTGCTTGTTGCCTTGTCTCCTCTCTCCTTGCGTCTCTTCCTTGCCTCCTCAGCTCTGGTCTCTTGTGGACAGGACTAAGATGCGAGGAAAGGATTCAATAATGTACAAACTGGGAAATGCGAAAGGTTTAAGGTCCCAGGCTGGGTGTGCTTTCACCCTTCAGCTACCAGGACGCCCCAAATGGATTCAATTTTCTTTGTTTGTGTTCCAAATTGCATACTTTCTCTTTTTACTTTAAGTACACTGAATGCCCTTACAAAGTGCCTACTATTTCATACAGAATACATACAATTTGGTATACTAATTTTCCATAACATTGTACCTTGAAGTTTGACCCTGTTGCTCACATATCTGTTGCAGTCCATCAGTGAGCTGTCAATGAACTGTCATGCGTTTGTGCTCTCTCTTGTGATATATTCCGCTGCACAGAGGATTGTGGGTCAGAATGGCCAGAAAAGCATGTTGGCTTGCATTCTGCAAAATGCGACCAAACTAAATACTATGGTAGTATGGGTACTGGAATGCACTCAGACTTTTCATTTGCCTTATCAATCAGTTTTTCCCGTGCACTACATTCTAAACAAAATTAAACTAACTTGAGTATGTTTCTTCACACAAACTTTTTCACTGTCATGTTTAACAGCTGACTATTGGTATGCAGCTCTTCTGCTGCTGGAACTCTGTACGGCATATGTCAACTTCACATGCATGCTTATAAGCAATATGTCACGGATGTTGACAGACACAGGTACAATTTAAAAAGGGACAACATCTGCCACTAGTCCCATGTGTTGTCCACACTAACGTTACTTACTTACATGAGGGAGGTAGATATTTGAAACACCTTTCAATTACAGTCCAGTAAACCAGCTCCACTACCACATCAGCAACAAAACAGACGTGTGGGTGTGTGTTGTAATCATGTTATCCATCTTAGCTTCGGCTTTGTTGACTTAGCTGTCATTTATATGTGTGCAGGCACACTGTGAGGCTACAATGGAGCCAGTCTACATACGTGCGTAGCAGACCGTAACTAAGATAGTTTAATTTCGGCTAAACACAGAGGCAGTTAACAATGAGCTGTTAACCAAACACGTGGTAAAGTCCCTGGCCAAAGTTCAGCTCAGTCAAGTCAGGCTGCGAACACTGTCACAACACAATCCCCTCCGTTATTGGGGTGATGTTTCGTGCTGTAAATGTTCGCTGCCGTTGCTTCACCTTGATGGAAGGAGTCCTTTTTCCTTTGTGCAACAGGACGCCGTACAACTAAATCGAGGCAAACAGCACTCATCTAACTGATGTAGAAAATGTAACAGAGTTATAGGTGATCTTACATCTCTGTGGTTGGTTTCCGTCGCCTTCTCTTCGTTCTTTTCTTGAAACTCTAAAAAGAAAATCCGCAATTTTCTGCCCAACTAACTGTCTTTGCACCGCTGAAAGCTGAACCGAAGAAGCGTGACCCGGTCAGGGAATAAGGCTGACCGCGGTTGAGCCTTTAACAACAAAGCCTCAGAGCCTCCTCCCATCTGAAGGTCCAGCAGGCTCCAGTCTCCACCTACAGGGCAGCCACACACATTACAGCCATCTAAACAGCAAGATTCCTGCTCTACAACATCAGGAGGATTCGCCCCTTCCTCACTGACGAGACGGCGCAGGTGCTAACCCAATCTCTTGCCATCTCCCACCAGGACTACTGCAACTCACTACTTGCCGGAGCCCGGCCATCAGACCTCTGGAGCTTGTCCAGAAAGCTGCAGCTCACCTGGTGTTCAATCGCCCCAAGTTCTCCCACACAACTTCCCTTCTCCGTTCTCTACACTGGCTCCCTGTAACATCTCGCATCCAGTTTAAGACTCTGGTGCTAGCCTACAGGGCAGTGAAAGGAACAGCTCCTTCCTATCTCCAGGCCATGGTCAAGCCCTACCCCCCCGCCCGACCTCTTTGCTCTGCTGCCTCGGGGCGATTGGTTGACCCGTCGCTCAGAGGTCCCTGCAGCTGTTCGACCCGGTCACGGCTGTTTTCTGTCCTGGCCCCACAGTGGTGGAATGAACTCCCCACTGACGTCAGGACAGCAGAGTCGCTGCCCATCTTTCATCAGGCTTAAAACTCACCTCTTCAAGAAGTGCTACCCTGAGCCTTCCACTCAGCACTTATTGCATTCGTATTAGTTTGATGCACTTATTGTATTCGTATTAGTTTGTTGCACTTATTGTATTCGTA